AAATAATGTTATTTTTAGCATAATAACAATACTTAATACTTAATGTTAATAGTTTTAGTAATGTTTTTTGTGTTAACGAGTTTTGGTGCAAACTGTAAGCCTGACTTTGTATTGAATTGAAAAAATAAATAAATAAATTTGTTTTAAAAATGAATTTCTTCTTTTTACACTCGCATCATCGGCCATGGGAGCACAAGGTGACAAGTCCCTGGCTGCTATTAATATTTGTTTATTGTACGTTAATATAGCAGAAGTAGCAAATAGTAAAAAGTAATTTTACAGCTCCTGCGCTATCCGCCGAGCAATGTATCAACGGGTGCTAGAAGATAGAGAGAATTCTATGTACGAGAGTATATTATGTAAAAATTGCTTGTTTTGACTGATCGAATTATTGACTTGAAATTTTGGTAGTTGGTAATTTTGGTTGTAAGGAGCTCTTTAGGAAGAGTTTCTACCTCTAAGGGGGTAAAGTAGGAAATTGGAAGTTATTAAGGTGTTTACTGGAGCCCGTAGTCACCCACCTGACGTGACGTAACTCAATGACGCCACTCACCTTGGATAAGTTCGGAGTCTCAATTGTATTGTATACGGGTTGTCCCACCCCTCTAACCGCAGCGCTTGACAGCTTCGCGGCAGAAATTGACACGGTGATAGTTCGCTCGCGTGTGGGCTAATGCGCCCTACCATTACTGAATTCAAAATAAGAACCACAAATACCTGCTTTAATATAGAAATAAATGGGCACACTTCTCTAAGTTTTTCAAAGCCCACTCAATTTAACGGCCGTCTGGTGTAGTGGTAAGTGACATGGTCACTACACAAGGGGGTCGCGGTTTCGAATCCCACCAAGGGAAGATATTTGTATGATAAATATAAATGTCTTTCCAGGGTTATGGGTGTATATTAAATATATGTATAATATGTATGTGTATAATAAAAATATTATATTTATTTCCGTTATCTGGTTTACGAACTTAGCACGGGAACAGATAACGTGGCGTCATTGATTAAAAAAAAAAAAAAAAAATTATATATATATATTTATATATATATTGGGGGTTCGTCACTTTTCCAGAAAGAAACATAAAATTTAATATGAAACCTTTAGGTACTGTAAAGTGTTATTTTGTCCCAAAGTGGGTGCTGACAATCAATTTGTGCAGTAGTAACGTCACGTGGGACGTTATTTCCTTTATGTTTAAAACAGACCACGATTCATCCATGACTACAACTGCAAAGTATTCCAAACCGTTGGATATAATATGGAAATAATATTCGTCAGCTTTACCAATCACTAATGAAAAGTAAACATTGTTTTTCTTTTATATTTATCAACAATTCTCATTATATAGACAGACAATCTTGAAATTAATTAACTGAAAACACATTGCATTCAACTTGAAATTTGAGATGATTTTCCAAGTTCGCACTTAATTCCTTTATATGTTAATTAATATATTCTTATCACGGAAGCCGATATGCAAAATGAAGTCAAATTGTTCATAGCAGTCGCACTTATAAGGACAAACTTGTAAAAAAACCTTGAGGTTTAAGTGACAGCGGAATGTCGAGCATTCGGTTTTACCCACGAGCCACAATTTTCCTGCTTACTTAATCGAGTCTTGCAAGTATAATCTTTGTATCCCGGGAGGATCCAATTGACATTTGAAGGCAGGACGCGGGATGACGGCCTCAGTAGTGACGTCAGTAGTAGGTAGTGAAACGGAAGAAGAATACCAAATCACAATTCTATAATCAATTCTTGTGTGTAGGCTACCTCTAGCAGCCTCGCATCTAGATCTAGATGGACTACAGATCAACGAGCATTTTTCATACCCGATCCTGGGGACCGAATGTTCAGTTCAGTTTCAGTCGCCGTCGCCCAAAATACGTCATTTCGGATCCTCCTGATCCACTACCGGTGCACTCCAACCAATCACCGTTCTCGTCAAATCTTTCGCTTGCGATGAAGGTCTCGGCGGGCAAATCAACTCACAGACACAGTCCACTGAGTTTCTCGCTGGATCTTCTCAGTGGGTCGTGTTTCCGATCCGGGGGTAGATTCTGCGAAGCATTGCTCTTGCTAGGGCTGATGTTAGCCTAATATTAGCTAGGGTTAGCAAAGTCTCGTAGTTAGAGCCCCGTGAGCTCGTGATCCAGTATGACCCCTCGAGGTCACTAAAATAGGTAGGAAAAAGAGTATGTTATTGTGTAGGCTAAAAAATTTATTTGTTATAAAATATTGTATTGTTGGCATAGGTACTTAATAAATAAAGAAAATTTTATTTGCGCAGATGATTTTTAACATTAAGTAAAAACGCAAAGAAACATTTATCACCTATAGTTAGAGCGAGTTTTTTTTTATAATTTAGGTATTACTGTTGGCCTGGAGGCCTCTCTAGTTTCACCGGGACAGGTGGGCGAGCAAAGGCTCAGTCAGCAGGGGTGGGATTTGCTAACAGATGCCAGAGCGCCTTCAAAGGAGACCTAACAGCTGAAGGATAGCTACTTCGCGAATGAACCTACTACCGGATCGGAATCGCGACCCGCTGAGAAGATCCGGCGAGAAACTCAGTGGGCTGATGCTTGGGTTAAGTTGCACGGCGAACTCTTTGTCGAGTTCGACGAGTACGGTTACCGGGGTCCCTAAGCCTGCCTAGTGTTAGAGCTGAAGGTGTCTAATGCTAAAGTTATTGGATCTGATGGATCCGTAAGGACGTGTCTAGGGCGTCAACTGTGACTGGCTCCTGCGTGATCAGGATTCGAGGAGTAGTCAGCGGCGGCAACGATAAGGCGATTATCATGACGCATACCTTATCGAAGTAACGTTCTGACGCTGACTTCATCTGTTTGCGGATCGATTCGAGGCTCATATCGTCGTGTAGGTCGACGTTCCTCACGAACCACGGAGCCCCGACGGCTAACATGCAAAAGCGGGATTGCAGGGGTTGGAGGGTATCTATGTGTGTGCGAGCCGCATGAGAAACACCACACTCGCGTAAGTCATGACGGGAGGAGCCGGAATGTCTTATGCGACAATAGTAACTCGAACTCTTATTTATAGTAGAACAGTGGGGTGATTTGTTGATTAATTTTACTGAATACCGTCTTAAACAATTGTTGACCAGCGTTGGACTTATAATAGTTATCGAACACTTTTAACATTGAGGAAACAGTTAACTCTAACCAATTTAGTTCACTAAGTAGCAGGGTTGCGCCAATATATACAATGCTGTGCGTCAAATGCTATTCATTTTGAAGGTTTAAATATTATAATGAACCGAATCAACAACTCAATTAAAAACATTTCTATTTAATTACCTATATTTTTTTTTGTTGTGTTATCTTTGAAAATTCCAAGTAGGTGCAGTTTAAAGTTGCAAATTTGAAAATACATACACATGTGTACAAGTGTACATACATACATAAAAATGCAGACAAACCACATGTGTACATACATATACACCACTTATATACATACATATGTGGTTTGTCTGCATTTTTTATCAAGAGCAAGATACTTTTCGAATTTTTAATCGGTTTCTGTGTCTTTATTTTCCTCGATAGGTTATTTATTCCACAAAGTTATATATTTGATTAGCTGGCCCGGCAAATGTTGTTTTACCATATAAATTATTTCTAGGCAAGATAAATAAATAAGCGTAGCCGTAGCGTAAATAAATAAAATATATAGCATAAATAAATAAAATAATAGCGTAAATAAATAACCGTATTATATAACTGTAGCGCCATCTGCCGGGCTGATTTGTGAATATAAACCATCCAGGGTGCCACCCAAACGCATACGAAAAAAATCATTCAAATCGGTCCAGCCGTTCTCGAGTTTTAGCGAGACTAACGAACAGCAATTCATTTATATATACCTAGATTATACCGCAAACGTAGACACAGCCCACTGAGTTTCTCGCCGGGTCTTCTCAGTGGATCGCGATTCCGATCCGGTGGTAGATTCTACGAAGCACTGCTTTTGTAAGGGCTAGTGTTAGCTAATTCTCTCAGGTTGAGCCCGTGAGCTCGTCCGGGCGTAGCTGGGATAGCCCCTTAGGCTATCAGCAAATAGTTAGGCAAAAAAAACAGACAAAATAAACATTATCTTCGAATGGAAATGAGCATATGGCCAATCTTATGGTAATTAGTCATAAAAGCCTGCATTCCTTGTTGGCGAGGACTTTATTTCTTTAAAATGACATATCACAGCGTTCGGTAAATAAGGTGGAAGGGATCTCATGCCAAAGTGAGATGGTACCTCCAAAACAGTTCTATGGAAACGTCATACGCGGCCGTACGCAGGGATTTCAAATAATATGGATCAACACTGCATCGGGTGTATCCACTGCATACCATCGGGGTATGGTGTGATGGTAAAAAATAAATTAATGGATCATCTCGAACAATTCTCAGGAATTGTTCGAGATGATCCATGCATTTCCCATGGAATATGCCGAAGTGTCTCCATAGAAACAAATGGTTCATTAAATTGGGACGGTCAACAATCAGCACGGCCCTCTTCTGTATGGAGTCAAATGAAAGTAGCTGGTATTTAGCAGCCCCGGACCAGAGGTCTAAGCAATAATCCACGCTAAAAGCTCTAAAAGTTATTTTTTTTAACTTCCAAATGACTTCAATACCGCTCGAAATGTCAATCCGAAACATAAAAGAATCCGAAACTGTGAAAAGGATGTAGGAATACTCGTTGGAAGGGGACCTTCTTCGCAGTGAACGCGCAAGTCCGTGTCTTCAATGGGTTCCATTGAATTTAGTTTGTTTCTCCAGTTCAGATACAAGTCTCTGCTGAACCATGTGTCGAGAAAACTGATTTGTCTAGCACAGTTACATTTTCTTCACAACGAAAGAGGCTATTCAAGTTCAAGGCTTAGGGAAAAATTTAAAATCTATACTGAACCACAATGAGTTGAGCAGAATGTGTGTGTGTGCGTCTGACATCCAGTTGTCTAGATGCAGCACGTGTATATAAACATCGCGCGCTCTGTGTTATTGCAGTGCGTTTTACGTGCTTGAGGAAAATGTTGTTGAAATTAATATTTATTTGTGCCATTGTGTATTATGCTGATGCTCATAAGAACAATAAGAAACAAACAGGTTGGACTTTAATTAATTATGTTTTTAATAACGTGAACGTATATTTTAAATAATAAAACGGGTTTAAGTGGTCAGCGGGGTCTACAGATGTGCTGAGGTCTCTGAGAAGTTGTATATTTATAACTTCGATTCGGTTGCTGGTCCGATTATCAAATACGAAATTGAAAATCTAAATTTTAATGTAAATGTTTATAATAATAAAACGCAAATTATTTAACGAAAAACGGATTAAGTATTATACACTAGAAGAAGAAAAGAAATAGTCTATCTGTATGGTAGTTTGTAATGGATATACTACTGGAGATAAAACCTAAGGAGGGTTGACGTCAGGCAGACAGTCGGTCGTAAAACTCATACCAAGTCCCTATGCAGCAGGATAAGAGTCTGTGCCGGCCCCACTCATTGTCGGATACGACGAAAAAGAAGAAGTCCGGTGGCCGGTCTGACTCGGAATTTACTATTTGGTATTTGTAATTTTAATCTTGTATTGTGATAAAGATTAAAACCCCTAGCCCATGCATCAGCCCGCTGAGTCTCTCGCCGGATCTTCTCAGTGGGTCGCGATTCCGATCCGGTAGTAGATTCATTCGCGAAGCAATTGCTTTTGAATTGTTAGGTCTCCTTCGGAGGCGCTCGGGCAGTTATTAGCAAATCCCACGCCTCCTGGCTGAGCCTTTGCTCGCCCACCTGTCCTGGTGAAACTGGAAAGGCCTCCGGGCCACTAGTAATCTTTCAATCATAAAAAAAAAGATTAAAACCCTAACTGAATTCGCCAGAAAAAAGACCAGCAGAGCCCGATGGCCCAGTGACCCGTTCACAATCTGGCTCATTCTTGGGCTCATGGATGGAGACACGTCGCGGAAAGCAGTTCCAGGCCTATAGGGGCATAAGATACGCTGAACCACCGGTCGGGAAACTACGATTCCAGGTCATAACAATTGTCATTCTTCTTTTTTTTAAATACATTAAACATTTAATTTAAGAGACAGGGCTGAAACGTTACACATCATAATGATGATTTCGATAGGCAATATGATAAGATGCAACTATTACGTGGGAAATCAGATTTTCCTCAGTTGAAGGTTCTGGAGTAAGGCACCCGCCTCCATAGCCACCGCAACGCGCGTGCTGGCGTTCACTGAACTGACCCTTACACTGTGAATAAGGTCGGAGTTTCAAATGCATTAGAGTGACCCATACGCTACCCTTCAATTGGACTGCACGGATCGCGGGACATTTAGGCAGGGTCGTCTTGTTCACAACACGCACTCCCACGCAAAACTTACGCAAATTATATTTCTATAAGGACACACTCTTACTCACAGAACATTCTTCCTCTGTCTCGGCAATAGACTGTGTGTACTTTTTTTTTCTTTCGGGCCGGGGCCGAGCCTTCTACGAGGTCCCCGCGCCTAGGGGGCGCACGGGGTATGTGGGACTCAACGATATGCAGGTGTTGAGAGCAGACCGCGGGCCCAAGAATTTTTAGGGCCCACCCACTAAACGACTCCCCTGCACTCTTACACCCGACGTTCGATCTCCGTTCGGGGTCAGAACCCGGTCAGAGTAGGGGGGCACCCGCGGTCAACACTACAACCAGACAGGCGGCGCCACCCCGAGGACGCCCGACCGACGGGTCGTCGACTGACTGTGTGTAACATGAGTCAATGCACGGTGGTACTTACCCGCGCGGACTCACAAGACGTCCTACCACCAGTAAGTGGGCGTTAATTCCTGTTAAATGTCATCCTTATATTAAAGCTTCCTCTTCGACACTGAACGATGGTGGAAGAGTAACGTTAATACACACAAGTTCTTTGCGACTAACTCGTCAAATTCATTAACAGCCCCCAAAACTAATTCGGCAATACAAAGAACGCGTTGACGCGAGCAAAGAGGGCCCGGCCTGCCCTCTGCCCGTCCCTCCCACTTACTACGTCGACGAAGACTGCCTGAGAATCAACGTGTATACTCCTAGTAACAATGTGTGAGTTTAAAGACATTTTAATTGTTGTTGATATTAGGTCGTCGTGGCCTAAAGGATAGATGTAGATGTCTATGGGCTCCAGTAACCACTTAACACCAGGTGGGCTGTGAGTTCGTTAAGCAATAAAAAATAAATAAAAATAAAAAATATTCCAGACGGTTTGAACCGCATATACGGAGTGCCGTCCCGAATCAACCGATTCACTTTGTTAGCGCCGTCGCGGCGTCGACTCTCAGAAACTTACATTAAATCTTAGAAATAAAATAAATAATCGTTTAAAAAAACTAACAAAATACGTTTTTATAGAAAATCGAACTAAAAAATAGAAAATAAATTTGAATTAAAAATAGTGTAAGAAAAAGTGATTTTATTGTAAAAAAACGCGTGGGATGCTTTTCAGGATATTATCAAAATAACTCTTCTGCTCATATCTGTTCATAAAATATTTATAACTACTGATACCATGCACCCGACGCTTTTTTTACAATAAAAACATTTTTTCTTACACTATTTTAATTAAAATTTATTTTCTATTTTTTAATTCGATTTTCTATAAAAACGTATTGTGTTAGTTTTTTTAAACTATTATTTATTTTTCACTTTTTAGTTGAATTTCAATTTTTTTTCAACTTTTTAATATTGAATTGTCATCGGTCCTTAATAAGTATACCAAATTTCGAGTTAATCCGACGTTTTGAAGGGGGTCAAAATCATGTCAAAGATTCCGTTACACACATACGTCTGAAACTAATAAAAGCGTATTAATAAATGTATTTTTGTTCAGCTCGAAGCCTCTCCCTGTGATATTTTACATTCACGCCGGAGCGTTCTACTCCATGACGGGCAGGAGCGACCTGGCCGGACCTCACTACTTGCTGGACAGAGATCTGGTGCTCGTCACCATCAACTACAGGCTCGGCTCTTTAGGTCGGTGTGCTCAATAATTCATATAATATCATTTCTATACATATTTTTTCTACAACAACATACTGTATAATATTAATATTAATAAATAATAATTTAATAACTAAAATAATATAATTTTAAAAGGAGTCCCTTTAGGCAAGGTTTCGAAGACACTAGCAGCGTTTCTCCTCTGAATAGCTAGACTAATTCTTTGTCCAAGGTAGCTGTCAGGTCTTCTGTGGTGTCGACTAACTTTATGCTATTTCCTTAAAAAGCCTTATAGCGCTATGACCCCACGGACGCCACGGACCAAGGGTCTCGACACCGAACGGGACAAAATATGTTAATGTCTACAATATATTATATTTTATGTGACTAGGAGATGTATGGAAATGGTAGTGCAAGATAGAGGAGGAAGAGGACGACAGAAGAAGTCATGGATGGAGTGTGTGAATGACGATATGAGAGAGAGAGGAGTGAGTGTTGAGATGACGGCTGATAGAAGAGAATGGAATAGACAAATTCGCTGTGCCGACCCCACCTAGTGGGATAAAGTGGACAAAAGAAGAATATATTACATTAAAAAAACATTAGTGCTGAATTTAAAAACTCATATTATTAATAAAAAAATGTTACTGGGAGAATGGACAATGTACAGTCGATCGAGAACAAAATATGTAGTGTATTGATGACGTTACGACCGTCATTATCCTACCATCAATGAAAATAAATATTGAAAAACTTCAAAAATAAGATTTAAGAAAAAAATTAATTGTTAGATTCAGAGCACACTTATGAGAATTCTTGTAGACACGAACCACTGAGTTTCTCGCCGTATCTTCTCAGTGGATCGCGATTCCGATTCGGTGCTAAATACTGCGAAGCACTGCCCTTGCTAGGGCTAGTGTTGGCAAATTTTCTCAGTAATAACGTCATTGCTCGCGTGCGCTATAAAAATATAAGTTGGTTTTGAGGAAATAAATGGAGGAGATAGAACTTTGATTGCCTGTTTCTCAGATATTAGTTTTAGTGAATAATAATCCACGGCTGATCAAAATTTGATATCGGAGACACTACAATAAGAAAAAAAATTCAAAACTTTGTCATCCTTTCCAGGTTTTATAAGCACAGGCGACTCCCTGGCTCCTGGTAACAATGGGATGAAGGACCAAGTAGCCGCCCTGCGCTGGGTGCAGAGGAACATCAGAGCTTTTGGAGGAGATCCTGACTTAGTCACCATTGCCGGGTGCAGTGCTGGCTCTATCAGTGTGATGCTTCACATGATATCGCCTATGTCTAAAGGTAATGGGAAACTATAATTGATGAAAGGCAATCAAATTAAATGGGAGGGAAATACCTGGCGAGAGGAGTGACATATTAACGTCCAAATAATTTTAAACCTTTTTCTCTAACGACAGCGGCACACATCTCGCATCGCTGGACGGAAACTTGCATTCAGACATTTTTATTATAAATATTAGGCGGTAGTTCATTCTATACTCCTAAAGGGTCTCTTTCGGCTGCAAAACTTCTCAATCTCTGGCTGGGTGCTATTTCAGATTTGTTTGTGTTCTGAATGATAGGTGCGTTACAGCGACGAGGAATACCTGATAATGAGTGGCGACTGAAACCGTCATACAATCAATAAACCAAAAATTCAGAGTCCAGTTTGACTTTCGAAAAATCGGCCGGTGCAAAATATTTCTACATATATCTCTTGTTTTTGCAATCGGCAGGACTCTTCCACCGCGGTATATCGATGAGCGGGTCTCCGTTCGCGAGGGAGCCGCTACCGACAGAGCAGAAGAATCTGGCCATTCGTCAAGCCGAGATCCTCGACTGTCCTACCAACTCCAGCAAGGCCATCATGGACTGTCTCATGGCTAAAGATTGGAGGGAGATCGGAGATTCATTGCCAAAGTTCTTCGTAAGTTGCTTGTGAGAATTTTAGTTCATGAGATATCGAGCTTTCCAAACATATTTTGAAGCGTTAAGCTACCAAACGTATAAGTTTTTAAACATATGAGGTAGTTCAATTAAGAAATTGCTAAAACTATCCTTCTCCGTCCGTCGTGTTCCTCAGTGCTGAGAATCGTGACCTTTACGGAATACATACGTAAAGGTTTTCTTGGGAAAATTGCTAGTGGTGGGTTCCCGCGTCCTTCGACAACAGGTTTTCAGAGGCGATTTAGTTCCTCTGGGCTACTGAAGCCCTAGTTCGAGGTAGTTGACCGCCGCCCGTTGCTTGGCGTTATATTTTTACGGCCCGGTAGGTGGCATACCGACGCCAACCCTCCTCGTTTCTCATCCGGGCTTGGGACCGGCTATGGCAGAGTTAGAGCTAAAACTATAATACTTACCTTAACAAATCAATGTTTTTTCTCGCTATGGATAAGCACGCACTATATTAACGTGGAAAAGAATTTTAAAGTAAAATCCCCCAATTAGATTTTACTTTAAAATTGTACGTTAGCGGTCACCTTTTTTATTCCTACCCATTCGCTGGTAGTAAAGGGGCTATTCCTACTACGTCGGTGAGCTCACGTTCTCAACGGTGCTTCGCAAAATCTATCACCGAATCAGAAACGCGACCCATTGGGAAGATCCGGCGAGAAACGCAGCGGGCTAACGGTCACTGTTTAACGGCCGTCTGGTGTAGTGGTAAGTGACATGGTCATTACACAAGGGGATCGCGGGTTCGAATTCCGCCAAGGGGGAGATATTTGTATGATAAATATAAATGTCTTTTCCAGGGTTATGGATGTCTATTAAATATATGTATGCGTCTAATAAAAATCTTACACTTATTTCCGTTATCTGGTACCTGTAACACAAGTTCTTTACGAATTTATCACGGGACCAGCTAACGTGGCGCGGTTGTTAGTAAATATTTATTTATTATTATTATTATTACCGTTGCTCATGGAAACGTACAACCCTAGGTAGCGGCGTAGGTTGCTAAGTCTACGCGCATGACTCGACACAGCCTTCACGCAGGATGGGGCGCGGGGCTGTCTGAAATGAGGTGTCACGGTACACGATTACAGGAATCCGGGCCGGGCGGGCCGGTGGGTATGTGGTGGCCGGTAGTGGAGGTGGATGCGGGCCAGGAGCGATTCTTGTCGGAGCAGCCCCTGGGCGTCCTCAGGTCGGGCCGCGCGCACACCGTGCCGCACATCATCAGCCAAACCAAGGACGAGTTCTTCTGGAAAGCTCCTCGTGAGTCTATTAATACTACTAGTCAGCGACAAGCGTCCAATTAGTAGTACTTTTTTTATTGCTTAGATGGGTGCACAAGCTCACAGCCCACCTGGTGTTAAGTGGTTAGTGGAGCCCATAGACAACTACAACGTAAATGCGCCACCCACCTTGAGATATAAGTTCCAAGGTCTCAAGTATAGTTACAACGGCTGCCTTCAAACCGAAACGCATTACTGCTTCACGGCAGAAATAGGCAGGGTGGTGGTACCTACCCATGTGGACTCACAAGAGGTCATTTAGTGTGTAGAAATGTAGTCATTTATTTACGGATCCTTTCCATCACACTAGCGGTACTCCAGAACGAGACGCTGCTAGATGAATTAAACAACGACTGGGAGAACATAGCGCCCATATACTTCAGCTTGCCGCAAGAGAACCGGACGGCCGCGGTGAGGGAGCTGAGGGCGCAGTACCTCGGGGACGGCCCGCTGCGGAACGACGAGCGTTCCACCCGCGCCCTCGGCAGACTCTACGGAGACTCTATCATAGGGTTCGGCGTTCACAGGTGCGGTCCCCCTCCCCCCCGCCGCTGACACGACTGTTTACTATTCCAGTAGAAACAAGTCCCTAATCGCGAAGAAGCTTCAGAGCGCAGCCCTAGCCCTAGGACAGTGATTCCGAACAATCCATCGACATCAACCCAGCGAAAAGTACTGCGGTGCTATTTCAGAGGGGAAGCTCCACACGGATTTCCTCCCGTATTAGGAGGAGGAATCTCACACCCCCGATTACTCTCTTTAGTCAATCCATACCCTGGGCTAGGAAGGTCAAGTACCTGGGCGTTACCCTAGATGCATCGATGACATTCCGCCCGCATATAAAATCAGTCCGTGACCGTGCCGCGTTTATTCTCGGTAGACTCTACCCCATGATCTGTAAGCGGAGTAAAATGTCCCTTCGGAACAAGGTAACACTTTACAAAACTTGCATAAGGCCCGTCATGACTTATGCGAGTGTGGTGTTCGCTCACGCGGCCCGCATACACATAGACACCCTCCAATCTCTACAATCCCGCTTTTGCAGGTTAGCCGTCGGAGCTCCGTGGTTCGTGAGGAACGTTGACTTACACGACGACCCGGGCCTCGAATTTATCCAGAAATACATGAAGTCAGCGTCGGAACGGTACTTCGATAAGGCTATGCGTCATGATAATCGCCTTATCGTTGCCGCCGCTGACTACTCCCCGAATCCTGATGACGCAAGAGCCAGTCACCGTCGACGCCCTAAACACGTCCTTACGGATCCATCAGATCCAATAACCTTTGCATTAGACGCCTTCAGCTCTAACACTAGGAGCAGACTTAGGGACCTCGGTAACCGTACTCGTCGAACTCGACAAAGAGTTCGCCGTGCAACCTAACCCATGAATCAGCTCGTTGAGTTTCTCGCCGGATCTTCTCAGCGGGTCGCGATTTCGATCCGGTAGTAGATTCATTCGCGAAGCAGCTGCTCTTGAGCTGTTAGGTCTCCTTCGGCGGCGCTCGGGTAGCTGTTAGCAAATCCCACCCCTCCTGGCTGAGCCTTTGCTCGCCCACCTGTATTGGTGAAACTGGAAAGGCCTCCGGGCCACCAGTAATCCTTCAATCATAAAAAAAAAAAGTTCGGTCCCCCAATAGGGACACTCCCATAATTCGCTTTTTAGCAATGTGAGGTTTAGTAATGTTGAGACTTCATTCATACTGCGGGGGCACAGAGCTGGGACGCAGTAGTTGTTCACTAATGATAAGTCTGGATTTTACTAACTCACTTTAATACACACAATCACTTACAAATGTTCTATGTTCTTTTTTTTTATTGCTTTTTTTATTGCTTAGATGTGTGGACGAGCTCACAGCCCACCTGATGTTAAGTGGTTACTGGAGCCCATAGACATCTACGACGTAAATGCGCCACCCACCTTGAGATATAAGTTCTAAGGTCTCAAGTATAGTTACAACAGCTGCCCCATCCTTCAAACCGAAACGCTTTACTGCTTCACTGCAGAAATAGGCAGAGTGGTGGTACCTACCCGTGCGGACTCACAAGAGGTCCTACCACCAGTAATTACGCAAATTATAATTTTGCGGGTTTGATTTTTATTACACGATGTTATTCCTTCACCGTGGAAGTCAATCGTGAACAATTGTTGAGTGCGTATTTCATTAGAAAAATTGGTACCCGCCTGTGATTCGAACATCGGTGCATCGCCTCAATACGTATGCACCAGACGTCTTATCCATTAGGCCACGACGACTATAAGACTGTTGATACTGATGAACTGCAACTTTAAATAAACGCGCAGTGTGGCGTTATTGCTTACTAAGATGTTCGGCCGTATTACAGCGAACACATACTATTTGTTTTTTTCCAGAATGGTGAAGCTCATGAGTCGTCACTCGGAGTATCCAGTGTACTATTACGTGTTCAGCTACATCGGCAATAACAGCTATTACGTGGATCCTGGCACCGGGAAACCAGCTGGTACATTGTATAAATTATATTCTTCACTTCACTTTCAAAGCCATAAAAAAACTCCTACTATGATACAATCCTAATCTTTCCTACAAAACAAAAGACTCCGTGCTATGAAGCGTGGATCCTAACAGAAGCGAAAGTATTAAAAACTTAAAAAACTGCTCGAAACTTATCTCTTTAAGTCTTGGATTCAGGCTTGAAGATGTATAATTTAGTTGCGACGTGAGAGCTGGAGACAAAACCATCAGATCAGGTGGGGGAGCGCGACGAAGACAGCGGTAATGTAGTTAAGATAATGTATGAAGTCGTCGTGGCCTAAAGGATAAGACGTCCGGTGCATTCCTGTTGAGCGATGCACCGGTGTTCGAATCCCGCAGGCGGGTACCAATTTTCCTGATGAAATACGTACTCAACAAATGTTCACGGTTGACTTCCACGGTGAAGGAATAACATCGTGTAATAAAAATCAAACCCGCAAAATTATAATTTGCGTAATTACTGGTGGTAGGACCTCTTATGAGTCCGCGCGGGTAGGTACCACCACCCTGCCTATTTCTGCCGTGAAGCAGTAATGCGTTTCGATTTGAAGGGTGGGGCAGCCGTTGTAACTATACTTGAGACCTTAGAACTTATATCTCAAGGTGAGTGACGCATTTACGTCGTAGATGTCTATGGGCTCCAGTAACCACTTAACGTCAGGTGGGCTGTGAGCACGTCCGCCCATCTAAGAAATAAAAAAATTTATCTATACACAGGAGCTGCTCACCACGACGACACCATCTACGTGCTCACTCAGTCGTACCAGTTCCCCACCATACAGACGGACAGCCCCGACTCCCACGTCGTTGACGAGATGACTGCCATCTGGTACAACTTCGCTAGACACGGGTAAGTACAAGCTAAAAGCTTTTACTGGTGGTAGGGTAGGTGACCTGTGAGCCCGGGTCGGTACCAACACTCTATCTATTGCTTCTTCTTCTTCTTCATCCTATCGTTTTCCCGGTCTAGTGCAAGGGTCCGCTTTCCTACATAAACTCCTCCAATTTGCCCGGTCTTTGACATCCTTCTGGGTGAGGATATGCTCCTCCATATCCGCTTTTACCACATCCAACCAGCGTTACTTGGGCTTGCCACGGGATCTTGGACCTGGTATGTAGAGATTGAGGCATCTATTTCCGACGTAGTCATCGGAGTCACTATCTATTGCGGCCACGAATTATTTCTTTCTCCCGATTGAGGCTAAATTAAGAGTCGCACAGCGGGCGATGGAGAGAGCTGTGCTCGGTGTTTCTCTAAGGGACACAATCCGGAACGAAGAAATTCGACGGAGAATCAAAGTCAACGACATAGCTCTCAAAGTTAGCAGGCTAAAGTGGCAATAGGCTGGTCCCACCTGTCGAGCCAGCGACGCCAGATGGGGGAGGAAAGTCCTCGAATGGAGGCCACGGATGGGTACCAGGAGTGTGGGGCTTTCTCCAACCAGGTGGACCGACCACTTAGTGCGCACGGCGGGAATTCGTTAGATGCGGAAGGCAGAGGACCGCTTTCTGTGGAAGGCATTGGAAAAGGCCTACGTCCAGCTGTGGGCAGATAAAGGCTGATGATGATGATTGAGTCTGAAACAGAAAATGTATCAGTGGACGATAATTAACAGTAGCTCCATCGGAGCAGTCATAGAACATAGTAGGTTATTAGTGAAGACAGTACGCAAGACAATCTACCAATTGTAAAGTATTGAAAAATAAAATATATTACGTCTTACTTTGAATCACAAATAACTATAGTACCAGTAATCAGAGAAGTATATTGCTGCAATACATCACAAGATTTTCCAAACAACATTCGACTGTGGTTCCGTCAGAACACTCATTGAGGTATCAGTGAATTCATACCAACTTACTGAGATCTATTAAAAGTATGACCTTATCCAATATTAACACAATGCTTTTTTTTTATTGTTTGGATGGGGGGACGAGCTCACAGCCCACCTGGTGTTAAGTGGTTATTGTAGCCCATGGACATCTACAACGTAGACGCGCCACCCACCTTGAGATACAAGTTCTAAAGTCTCAGTATAGTTACAACGGCTGCCCCACCCTTCAAACCGAAACGCATTACTGCTAAACGGCAGAAATAGGCAGGGTGGTGGTACCTACCCGCGCAGACTCACAAGTGGTCCTACCACCAGTAAATGAAATTGAATTTGGTATATCAGCGATCCAAACAACTGCGGCGACACCCCGGAGATCGGGGTCCGGTGGCCGGAGTACGACCCCGCCAAGCAGCAGTACCTGGACGTGGGAGACAGACTCACTGTCCGCAAAAACTACGCTGAAGACAGATTCCAGCTCTGGGATGAGCTATATCCTATACAATACTAATTTCTTTGCGGAAAGTTTTGATTTTGAATAAAAACTGCGGCGCCTTAATAACATTTTAATAACAATACTAATTTCTTTGCGGAAAGTTTTGATTTTGAATTAAAACTTCGGCGCCTTAATAACAATAACATTTTAATAACAATACTAATTTCTTTGCGGAAAGTTTTGATTTTGAATTAAAACTTCAGCGCCTTAATAACATTTTAATAACGTCCTTTTTGTATTAAATAAACCTTTGTTATCGTATTTTAACACCCGCAAATCTTTTTTATCTGTTGACATGAACGATACGTATTTATTATTAGAATCGGTTGAGGGATTGCATTATATGCCTTGTATGTAGTTATGTTATCCAAATAAATCATAGTTGTATCATTATTAATGTTTTATTGAAGTATTTCGTATTTATCTTTAAGAAATTATGAATTGATCTACATTCCATTCTTCTTTAATTAAATTATATTTTTATTTTTACTGCTTAAACGGGAGAATGGGCACACGGCCCTCCTGATGTAAAGCGGTTACTGAAACCCACAGATATCTTGAGATATAAAATCTAAGAGTCCATTGCATAGTAATGACTCATGCTATGAACAGTCAACCCTCCTTGTAGGCATTCGAGCAGTTGTTAGCCCCCCTCTCCTGTGGGCTGAGCCCTAGTATTTTCACACCGGTTCTGATTAACCTGCGAAGATTTTTATGATGATTCCATCCCAAATCCCATCTAACTCAATCCATCCCCAAAAAACAAACCGAAAGCACAAACGAAAGAAAATGAAGAAAAGATTGCATTTACCGGTAATTTACACAATTACAGAACGCGCGCTGCGAACTTCAGATTGTAGTTGGATTGTATCTACTAATCAATTAACTTCACAAACTAATTTGTGGCTCCTATTATTTCGGGCTATAAAAACGCTCGGATCTAGTACTCACCAAGTAGTACCTAATTCCTGTTATCGATCGATGGTCAGGTAGGAAAACTTTATCTATTAACCCTAAATTCACAACGTGAAGTATCTCAAGTTAACCTATATTCATTAATCTGAAGTAACATAAAATTGCTTTCACTAGAATTAAGCATTTTTTCTCAATCCGCAAGTTCAATAATAATTTTTGGACATTGGAAAATTTTATTTCTATCTCCTGATAACAGGATATAGCAAATTGTATTTATGTACAGAAGCATTTGGTTTTAAATTTCAAATGTATAAACATCTACCTCCATGTTTAAACTTTACGAAAAGAAGCGCATTGTTGTAATTTTTATTTGTAGGTCATTGTTTCATTAAAGGACGTAAGCAAGTCGATAAATTTCTAAAAGGGTGAGTTTATTAACGTTTTTTTTTTTTTTTTTTTTTTTTNGCGCCGGTCGGGATTTGTTTACGCCTATTTAGTCCTATCAGGATGTGCTCCGTGAGGCGGTGCACTTGTTGTACGCACGAGTGTTTAGAGCGGAATCCGAACTGTTCGTCTATGAGAATTTTGTTCGCGGTAACAAAATCCCAGAGACGTTTCCTAAGGAGCCGTTCGTAAATTTTTCCTATCGTCGGGAGGAGACTAATCGGACGGTCAATTAACGTGATAACCTACTTTCTACGCAGTGGCTTGCAAGTTCACGGCTGTTTCCACAGAGACAAACGATGACTCATACCTAATACTATGGAATTTCAATATTGATACTCAACTCTGAGGAATAAGATTATTTTTATATTAGGATAAATATTTTGCTGTTGTTAATTTTGTAACTTCTCGGCCAATAGAGTTGAATGTTGAAAAACGTAAAGGCGTCTGAAAATTCTTAGTTTCAAGTTCTTTTGATAATGTGTAACTTCTCAAATATATTAAGTGTATAATCTATGGTGTAACTTGTTATGAACTATATCTCAACTTGATAGGGGACATTTTCTGTTGCTATTATAAATAATTAAAGGAGGCCTAAAAGGCTTTCTGAGACATTGCGCATGCGTACATATATCTCAAATAATTTTACGACCCTTGGGATTAGAGTTGAAACACACTTTTTCTTGGTAAATTATCGATTAATCTGAGTCGAAGATGCTTTGCAAATTGATAGTAGGTCAAGTGAATAAAATTACACCAATATAAAAATCTATTTAGTTCTAAAGTGCAAATAAATGAATTAAAATAAAATTTATGTATAAAATGTTATAAAATTTAAGCAGCACGTTTTCAAAATGTGTTCAAGTATAGAATCTTCAATTGCATGTTTTTATTTTCAATGGAAAATCAAAACGCCGCGCCGCTTTGTATTTACTGTTCTTGAATCGATTCGAATGGATCGATATTTACCGTTGTGCGCTCACAATCGAGTCTGGTGCGCAGCGGCGCATTCACTATCACTAGTTTGGGTTTCCCTTTGCTGAAGCTGCGGCCATGACACTCGATCGTGTGCGTCCCGTGCGTTTGACACGCTCTAAAACAAAAGAAAACAACGAAACCGCCCAACAGAACCGTCAGCAGTTGTATATTGTAAGTAATATGTGGTCAAAAATGTGATATCTCCAAAAAAAAAATTCATTATTGATTGAATATGGCTACTTGACAGTTGTGACGTCGGCGCGGCGGAAGCGGTCAGGTCTCGTATAAACTGGAACAAGCGCTCAATTTGTGGGGAGAATCGAGTATGGGAGGTGATTAAACATATTCAATTATTAAAATATAATTAGGCTAATTTATACACAAATAGATATACAAAAAAAGAACACTATTTCTTTAAGAAAAAAGTGACAGGTTTCAATAACAAAACTTGATTATTACTTCATGTTTGGTCAAAGAGTTACAATTTGTAGACATGACATAATTATACGTATGTACAATGAAAATTAAATGATATAATATTTTCTTAATAATATAGAGAAAAACATTTATACTATTCTGAAAATTGCTTGCTTTATAGATTATTAATGGAATTGTTAGTGCTTTTGTTAAAATGTCTTAAACATTGAAATTATTAGATTAAAGCATTCTGCTTTAGCATAGGATTTTTCATAAAGGTACCTACGAGAAAACAAAAAGACCGTTTTTTTAAACAAGTAGAATATTTAGTGTGACCCGTAAATTTGTTTACTAATTAAGGCAGAAAAAAAGAGACATGACAAAATAAATTCAGTTTGATTAATAAATGAATTTATTCACCTTATTCAATAATTTACGGCAAGAGTACTAAATTGCTGTCTCTTAACTGAAAACTAATAATAAGTAGTAGTCTGTAGTAGCACTGCATACATCGCCGCTTAAAAGTAACCGGTGGCAATGAATAATATAAAATTGATATTTAAATTCGCAAAACTTTTAAATAGGTCACACCGGGTACAAAAGTTTCATTTGTAATTTTATTATTCGACTAACCGATTTTTAATTCAATAAATAAAAAAATATTTTATAAATCAGAGTCGTCGCTCTTTTTCGACGTAGGATACCTAGTTCGCCGATGACGCAGCCTCGTATTTGCTTTATATTTAGTCAGCATTACTGAACGTAGCATGTTTTGTGAGCTTAGTACTGTAAATAGTTATATATACANAAAAGTTTCATTTGTAATTTTATTATTCGACTAACCGATTTTTAATTCAATAAATAAAAAAATATTTTATAAATCAGAGTCGTCGCTCTTTTTCGACGTAGGATACCTAGTTCGCCGATGACGCAGCCTCGTATTTGCTTTATATTTAGTCAGCATTACTGAACGTAGCATGTTTTGTGAGCTTAGTACTGTAAATAGTTATATATACATTCGATGATGAAGGAATGCAGTAGCAAATAGTGGAGCGAGGTCGCATATTATGTTTTATGATCAATAGCTGAACAATCGGACCATTATTGTGCTCTGACTTGATATAAGATTGATGAATCTGATGTAAAATTAAATAGCCAGCTCCAAAAATATTTCACATGTATATACATATAAAAAGTTAAATATCTGTGACTATAGTGTCATGCCCTGAGCGTCAAGGTTGCTCGGCGGAGCGTATCTGGTACGCGGCATGTACCACACTTGGAATACCTGAAGCGGACGACCCATGGAAGAAAATCGTAGAAGCTTCACCACCGGATTCCATATGGCATTCCCTAAGAAACTGCGTTGCCTATCAGGTTACAGTTACATATTTGTATTTTGTGGAAATTTATATACACGTCTATATACATGATGCTTGAAACAAAACATTATGCTGCGGGTGGAAATCTAGAATTTATTATAGCAAATCAGTGCTGCCAGGTATACATTTTCAACAAGACATTAGATGGGACTGTCAATTCAATAAAATAATGTGATGTTCTGGTGTTATAAGACAAATTCTATTATTGCACCTTAATGAAAAACGTTGTTTTTCAACAGGCTTTTGTTTCCGTTTCCGTTTTCTGTGTCTAACTATCTATGTAACGGAATCTTGCAGCGTAATTTTCGCAAACTTTAAAACGTTCAATAAATTTAAAATTTACTCATGTGTCAAGGAACGATGAGAATACAATTATTATTATACTTTGGCCTAATATCCTAATCGAGATTACCAGATTGACAAAGTTTCCCAGAAGACGTTTTTGTTTAAGCTACAATTATTAATTTGGGATCGCTCGATTTTAATGTCCAGTAAAGTTTCCCACCGGGAACTCCGAATGAATCTTGATTTCGGAAAGAAGAAATTAAAAATTAAACCTCAATTGTATTTTTTTTTCATAACTACGATTCTTTTATTACATTTAAGTATTCCAAACAGCTTGACATTTAGAACGAAGCCGGCTGTCTTCACATAGAAACTCACATAAGCGTTGTTGTATGTAATATATAATTGATCAGGCGGGGGTCTGGCAGAACTTGATCACAAAGGGCATCGATGACGTCATGCAGCCGGCCGCCTTCAAACTGGCAATCGTACTGCGACACACACCCACCGAAGACTGCGCTAAATTAATGTCCGAGCTCCTGAAAACGCATCCGGTATCTGTAAGTGCAATGGACACTAAAATAAAAATTGAATTAATTAAAGTCCATGGGCGAGGCATAGCTGAACTCCATGGGCGATGGCATTGCTGAAGTCCATGGGCGACGGTAACCACTCACTATCAGATGGGCCGAATGCTCGTCTGCCTACAAGGGCAATATTTTTATTTATTAAGTACTCTAATTAAAATTGAAAAAAATATATTTATTACTAGTGTTAGCGACGCGTTGAATATGGGTTTGGAGCTGTGACTAGTATATTTGGTGTATGTCTGTTTGTGTGGTGGATTCGTTTCGTTAAAAGAAGTTAACAAAACTTTTAGCTTAGTTTTTAAATTAACAAGATTTGTAAGAGGGAGTGCGCGGGGTTCAACGAGAGGTGAGGGCCTCGGACCGGTGACCTGAGGCTAGCGAAGTCAATGCTCTTACCCAAAAAACGAACGCCGCGTGCTTGCTAACTACTAAAGTTTTTGTCATCCGATGCTACTATAGAAAATAAATATTTTTTACAAATTTAAACTAATTTCCCTGCACATATCTCTGTATCAATACAGGTGCAAGAAGAGCTGACATCGTACTGCGTGTCGCTGCTGACGGACGACGAGGCGCGGCGCTGCGCCTGCTGGCAAAGCGGCCCGTCCGGCCCCCCCGCCCCCCTGCGTGACCTGCTGCTCTACGGGGACCTGGAGCTGGCGGTCTCTAAACTATTACCACACCGTATACTCCACGCTTACAAACGTCGCTTTAATGCTGACAGTAGGAGGAACCCTCAGACACAGCCCACTGGGTTTCTCGCCGGATCTTCTCAGTGGGTCGCGTTTCCGATCCGGTGGTAGATTCTGCGAAGCACCGCTCTTGCTAGGGTTCGTGTTAGCAACGTCATCAGGTTTGAGCCCCGTGAGCCCACCTACTAGTTAAGGCTACGTTGATATAGCCTCTCAAGGCTCTCAGCTTAGGTAGGAAAAAAAAAAGTAGGAGGTACTGGCAACCCACAGCCGTGAACAAATTTGCCACCCTTAGATATCATAACGTTGGGTCTTATTGCTGAACTGAAAGCGGAGTTAGATGTTCATATGGAGCCGTAAACTGTGAGGGTTCACAATATTACATTATATACTTACTCCCTTGTTTATGAGTATACTTTTTAGAATGTGTAATATATTCTATTTTGTCGAATCAAATACTGATGATTACATTCAGATTTTGGCCGCTTCTCGCGAAGAATACGATGCTCATGCGAAGCTAGTGCGGGCGGAGTACTCGAAGCTCACCCAGGACAACTACGTCGAACTACGAATTAAGGTAAAATAGTTTTTTGTAAAACCTTATAATATATTTCCGTCCTTGCACCTGCAAAAGCTCTAATTAGATTCGCTCTGCCATAAACTAAACTAAAATCTAGCTTTAAAATAAGTACAAAAATCATTTTATGTATGTATAACAAATAAAATAAATACAAATGTTTGAATTTTAATATCGATAGATCATTTAATATTATGGTATTTATTTATTTGATGAATGGCCAATGTGATAATGTCCATACATATATTATCTCATTTTACATTAATCCATATTATAATTACATAAAATGTAATATAAGCCCATTATATATTATATTTCATTGGTAAACAACTCTAACAATGAATCTAAAATTAAAAAACCTTAAAAAATAATAATATAATAACTAAAATATATTATTAAAAGGAGTACCTTTAGGCAAGGTTCCGAAGATACTGGCAGCGTTTCCCCTTTGAATAGCTAGACTAATTCTTTGTCCAAGGTAACTGCCAGCTCTCCGGTCTCCTGTGATGTCGACAAACCTTTTAAAGTGAAACTTTTATTACATCGTCTCAAACATTTTCGTCTGTGTGTCGCATGTCGCGTGACGGTCGGCCGCGGAGTAGGGATAAAGTGAAAGGCGCTCGTCAGAGCAGCCAAGGCCAATATGGCGGCGCCTATAGTTCGCATCAGCTGACCGTCTAGTGTATCAAGACTATTACTCATTTGTGCCAGTGCTCCACGCTATTTTGTTTGTTTTTGTCAGTGTTTAATGTAAATGTTTGTCAGAGTTAAATGTCTATAATGTGAAAAAAGTTTCACTGTTACCGTGGTTTCATAAAACCACACAATCCTTTTTTTGATATTGTGTGTGGAGTTTTGATAAATTTACTGAGTATAATAAACATAAATTAATTTTGCTTACTCTTTAACTTTCCCCAAATTCTCATGTATATAGTTGTAGAGCCCGTTGTGCGTTGTGGCAGGTGCTGAACCAGTTCTCTCAGATCCCGAAGCTGTTCCACTCGCCCGAGTTCGCGTGCTTCGAGCCGGCCGCGCGCGAGAACATCGAGCGCGAAATCTGTACTCTCAGAGAACACCTGCTCACGGGCAGAAAAGATTAAAACTGAATTCGTTTACTCTTTGACCACCGTTTCATATTTCATAGTGTGGCGATGTTGTGTATCAAAATCGATAATATGTTTTCGATTAATGAAATTTCAAAAATTGTTGTCAAGTACTTCGCATATGTACAAATTGATTTAATTGATTTTCTCTTTTGCGAAAATGACATCTTACGATCTTACATTCGTATAATATGTTTGTAAAAAAAAACGTTATAAGTTTTTGAAGGATACTTTGAGTAAAACATCCAGATAAAAAATTCCGCCTACTACAATACTCTAGGGACCTTCAACTTCACTACCACAGATACATGTGCGGTTAATAACTCGCAGCCCTGGAACTTAAACTTTTGAGTCTGTGTTTTTAGAAACAAGCTCTAAATGGAAATTTTCATTTCACTGTGTTTCACATTCCACAATATTTAAAAACTGTTTACTCATTCCCAACGAACGTTTATTATATTAACAAAAAAACCATGACTCTTCGTAATAGTTTTTAATATGAGTATATAATCTCTGTACTGTAGTGACTACCTACAATAGCCATTTAGAAGCGGATGTTGTATAGCATCTGCAACTAGACACGTTGGAGCTGTCCAGCCGCCACGGACTATTTGCGACCACAGTCGTCCACGTGTACACATGACAACTACGTAGGTACTTACACCATTTACTTTTAGCAGCTACTTGTGTGTATCTAAATGTGAATCTTTCCTATATTATTTACTTCACAGATGTTTAATACAACTTAATGTAGTTTTAAATCAATATTTTTATAATCTCTTATATTAATATAATATGCATTAGGTACAATATTTTATGTGGATCATTAGTTTCAGCGGCAAAAATCTATATTATTTAAGGAAATTGATGTAAAATTATGATTTTGAAAAATCAATTTTGCTTTGATGTGTGATGATGTGCTATTATTTGTAAACATATAATCACTAGTCCCGATAAATTTATAATTATATTTGAATAATATATTTTACATTCGTACTATAATCTAACAATATAGCGCAGATTGTGGCAGGGCTGATACTTATGTTTGCAAAATAATTGCAAAATCATATTACTTGCATTGTTCTCATTAGTACGGGAGAGCGATGAATACGTCGTCAATGAAATTAATCATAATCGACTCATTTTTTAAATCGTTTTAATGAATTTAAAGCTTTTGTGCACCGTCTAGTGTTAGGTCGATGTTACAATATACCAATAAAGGATTAAGTACCGCAAATGAGTTTCATTTCCACTTTTTTTCCCCTACCTGGTCCCCGGTAGCCTATGAGACTATTCCAGCTAACCGCTGGTGGCTTAACCTAAGAGGATTTGATAACACTAACCCTAGCAGATCGGAATCGCGACCCACTGGGAAGATCCAGCGAGAAACTCAATGGGCTAACGGTCACCGTTGCTCATGGACAATGAAAATTGCATATACTTTACAAGTGCGTGTCAGCTCTGCCGTGAAGGGACGCCAGGGGCACCGTCTGGGTGGCCGTGCCGAGACGGCCGCTTTAGAACCTTCGATTCTCCTTGAAGGCTCCGTCAGCCGGGCGTCCTTGGGGTGAGCTGCGCCGTCTGCTCATAGTGTTTTTTACTGGTGGTAGGACCTCTTATGAGTCCGCACGGGTAGGTACCACCACCCTGCCTGTTTATGCCGTGAAGCAGTAATTCGTTTCGGTTTGAAGGGCGGGGCAGCCGTTGTACTGAGACTTTAGAACTTATATCTCAAGGTGGGTGGCGCATTTACGTTCTAGATGTCTATGGGCTCCAGTTACCACTTAACACCAGGTGGGCTGTGAGCTCAACCACCATCTAAGCAATAAAAAAAGTGTTGACCGCAGTAACCCCATTGCCTTATCCGGGTTCTAACCTCGGAGAGAATCGGATGCTTGAGAGAAGAGTACAGGGGAGTCGTTTATTCGGTAGGGTCCTGAAAACATCCTTGGGCCGACGGTCTCACAGTCGCGGACCAGTCCCACATACCCCGTGCGCCCCCTAGACGCGGGGACCTCGTAAGAGGTTCGGACCGCGGCCCGAAAAAAAAGTGAATCATTTTTGTGGCTTCATTATTTGCCATTATTATTTTTTTTGTTTATTATTTGAGATGATACAAAAAAAAACTTTAAATTTAAAAAGTGCCAATGATTATGAGAGTCGAATCGTGCATGACTTTATGACATGACATTAAGAAAAAAATTAGAAACTATTTTGCTCCTAAACCATGTTAATTGTTCTCATGTTATTTGTTTTTATGTAGTTTATCTTCGATCAATAATACGTTTATTGATGGTTTTTTGCTGTTTAAAAATCTTTTTAAAAATGTTATCTGATTTCTTTTTGTTCCTTTTATTTTTTGTTTTTTCTTACAGAATTAATTAATTTTATAATCATTTGGTACTAGAACTAGATGTTAGCTGTGATTACCTATAATTAAGTGAGCACATGTCATGTTTTGATATTTTTGTACCCTATGTTTAAGCCAGTGTTTCATATTTTGTTGGTGATCCATTAAATAAATAAATAAATAAATGACTGCGAAAACTAATTTAATGTAAAGAAACCGCGAAAAAATTCAAGAAAAAATACGAGATCAAAGTCTTTATGTAGTTTTAGTTAAAGAGTAAATAAATACATCATTAATAAAAGAGAGGGTATGGTACTAGAAAATCAAATGGTACAGTTTATGTATTGGTAGCATTACATTACTTTCAGCAATGAAGTATTCGACTAAGAAGAAGAAGAAGAAGCATTACATCTTAGACAAGTAGAGTTAATGTACCTTACGGCATAAATCATTTCAAATGGTACAGTTTATGTATTGGTAGCATTACATTACTTTCAGCAATGAAGTATTCAACTAAGAAGAAGAAGAAGCATTACATCTTAGACAAGTAGAGTTAATGTACCTTACGGCATAAATCATTTAATACTACTTTGAAGTTAGTCAGTCAGTTTCTTCAGGTTTAAATGTGTAATAACGGTGGTTTCTTAACGGTTTAGTATCTGTGAAAGTGCATAAATGTGGGAAAATGAAACAAAGCCACTGAACGTAACTTCTCGGGATCTTCCAAAAAGTCCACTGAAAAAGTCTCAGTATTTTTTATTTTTTTTATGTTTTTATTTTTTATTGCTTTGATGGTTGGACGAGCTCACAGCCCACCTGGTGTTAAGTGGTTACTGGAGCCCATAGACATCTACAACGTAAATGCGCCACCCACCTTGAGATATAAGTTCTAAGGTCTCAGTATAGTTACACCACCATGACCACCATTTTACTGAGATTATGCTTCATCCCATATCATCTCATCTCATATCATTTCATTTCGTTTTCATTTCACTTCATGCCATGTTTCATAATAATCAACTTCATTTCATTTCATAATATCATTTTCATTTAAAAAAGTTACTTAACATTAAAATTAAAATAATACTTGACCTAAAGGTATTTGTTACCAGGTCATAAAATCCCTTTAAAAAAAAATGAAAAATATCGAGTAAAAATATGGCGTCAGTCTTTTGTAATGATTTATGAAAGGAAATAATCTAATTACGATCACAGAATTTTCAAGTGTAGTGCACTTTATTAAAGTAAATAATTTAACATCCGGCCTAAAGTGTTAAGATACTAGGGAAGTTACTCGTAATTACGTTACAGCAGGTAAACGTGAGTAAAAGCTACATTGAAAAAGAAAGCCACGCATTGCGCAGCAACCATGGCGGAGACAGGAATCATCAGTGAGTATAAGTATCTGATCGTGCGGGGTGTTCGCAGGCTACGATGTCTTGGCGAAGTCGAGAGGAGCGCTGCTCGAGGTGGGACACCAACAAATGGGAACTCCGCGATCGGTCGCCTGTATGGGAGCCTAGGAACGTCAGCCCTGAGTGCAGGTCGCCATCCCGACACCGACACTCGCATGATAGACGGCCTCGTCACGAGCGCGACTTTCGGCGTGACCGCCACGACCGGGATCGCGACCGTGACCGAGAACGCGACAGAAAACGGTACGAGGAAGCGCCCGCGCCCCCCTCGCCGCCCGTCATCAGCGATGACAAAAAGAGCTCACGGTCTAGTAGTCGATCCGATAGTCGTGAGAGGGACAGGTCTGATATGGAAATAGAAAAGGACAAGCACCAGGATGAGGTGCAGAACAACGCATCACCGGGTGATTGGATCTGCAAGTGTGGTCTATACAACTTTAAAAGACGTCAGGTCTGTTACCGTAGAACTTGTAATGGGAAAAGATCGGAGGGTGTAGTTTATGGAGGTGATGGGGATCGTAACGGTGTAGTCGAAACACCTGGCATCACAAAGAGGTTACTCTTTAGGAGGCTAGATGCTTTGACTACTGAAGAAAATATATTGGAAGAGCTTAAACTACGTTGCAGTAAAGAAGTTCTAGAGTTAATTGTAGGTATTTCAATTGGTAGAGAAACTTTAACAGGTGCATCAAAGTGTCTCGCCTACATCAATTTCAACTCCATAGCAGATTCTACAACAGCACATACAGAGTTGGTGAATCTCCAACCACCATTAAGGATTGACGGTCGAGAAGTGCTTATAAGCTTTTACAATGAACCTAAAAAAATTGTTAAACCAACACAAGTTGACTATACGTCATACTACTCTCAAATGTCTTCGTACAGTGGTGCAACAACTCAAGCAATGTCTGAGGCTGATCGAGTCAATGCAGCTGCTGCAGTAGCTCAGTCTGCTATATCGGCAGCCCAGGCTAGACAGCTATCATGGACGCCAGTTGGTGCTGTACCTTTCACTGGTACTACCCAAACTACAAAAACAAATGTACCCATAGGTGATGGGAAGACAGTTTATCCTGCCCCAGATGTGAGAACATTCATGTATGATGAGTCATCTGGTTACTATTATGACCCGTCAACTTGTTTATACTATGATGGGAAGACACAATATTTTTATAATAGTCAAATCAGTCAATATATGTATTGGGATGGTAAAACAAACACTTATATTGCTGCAACACAGGCTCAGAATGCTGAACAAAACAAACAAAGAGAGGCCAAGGAGCCTGATGAAAAGAAAAGGAGAGACAAAGAAGACAAAGTTAAAGTAGCTAAAAAGATAGCTAAGGATATGGAAAGATGGGCACGGACTCTAAATCAAAAGAAAGAGAATGCTCGGAGTAACTTTGTTATGGAACAGCCAACTGACACAAGTGCTAGCAAAGGCTCAGCAGACATTGGTTTTTCAGTACTAGGAGCTGGACCATCATTAACTCATGTAAGAGAAATATCCCCACCTCCCAACACAGATGAATTCTTGGTCAAAAAGATCTCAGAACCAGTATTTGATAATGATGATGACATTATTGACTGGGACAAATTAACCTGCTTGTTATGCAAAAGGAAATTCCCTTCTGTAGAAGTGTTGAATAAGCATAAAGTTATGTCAGACTTGCACAAACAAAATCTAGTTGAATTTAGGAAGAAGAATGACTTGATTCCACAGATGAATGGTTATAGAGACAGGGCAGCTGAGCGACGTATGAAATTTGGTGAAGATGAGCCTCCAATGATAAGAAAACGTTATGAGCCTTCTGAACCAATAGGTCCACCCATTAACCCGCACCCACCTCCAAATGTAGTAGATACAATAGGAGGTAAAATGCTGCAAAAAATGGGCTGGTCGGAAGGTCGAGGTTTAGGTAAGACTGAGCAGGGACGAATAGCTCCCATAGAAGCAGAACAGAGGCCAAGTTTAGCTGGTCTGGGGCAGAAAAGAGGTATATACACTCCCACACCTGGTGAAACATATCGCGATACAGTTAAGAAACTTATGATAGCAAGATATAAAGAAGTTGTTGGACAAGAAGAAGGGAAATAGGTGGGTATTTTTCATTTTGTCTTAAAAATTAATGTTTCTTTTCAGTTCAGGAAGGAGCTGCAGGTTAGTCGTTGTCATCCTCAAAATTAACCAGTTTTTTTAAATAATTAGAAAACTAATCTTCCTGTTGAAAATGTTACTGGTTGGAATTAATTTACATTTATTTTTATTATTTATTGCTTTGATGAGTGGACGATCCCACAGCTCACCTGGTGTTAAGTGGTCACTGTAGCCCATAGACATCAACAACGTAAATGCCAAACCTTGAGATATGAATTCTAAGGTTTCAGTATAATTGCAATGGCTGCCCCACCCTTCAAACCAAGACTCATTACTGCTTCACGGCAGAAATGGGCAGGGTGGTGGTACCTACCTGTGCAGACTCACTCTTGTAGAGGTCTTACCACCAGTAATTAAGCAAATTATAATTTTGCGGATTAGACTTTATTACATTGTTATTCCTTCATTGTGGAAGTCAATCGTGAACATTTGTTATGTACGTATTACATCAGAAAAATTTGTACCCACCTGTGGGATTCAAACACCGGTGCATCACTATACACTAATGCACTGGGCATCTTACCCTTTGGATCGCTTTGGCTTTATTAAGTTTAGATCATCCCATTAGTATGCTTTATTTAATTTATAATGACGTAACATAAGATATGGACAATTTGGATTATAATTTTTTTACAAAAGTAATATTAATTATTAGTAAAATAGATTACAAACATCATAAACACTATTATATATGAGTCGTCTATTATCAAAGGTGGCAATCTGTGCATTTGGACAAAAAAAAATTATTGATATGTCAATACAGATTGATTTGAATATAATCGTCTCCTTCAAAGAATATGGTTCAAAACCTGCATTAAATAAAGGTTAATACTTAACCTGTTATTTATCTAAGATGTCGTTCAGAAGAGTTTTGTGACTGCCAATGGAATACAAAGTCAATAATTCGTTTTTCTGATTTACCAATAATTGTCCAAAAGTCACATTGCCGGCTTTGATAATAGTCGACTCATATCATGTTCACACTTTGAATAAGTTCCCTATATTTCAACAATATTGCAAGTACTCCCATGATCATAATGCTGGTAACTGCAGAAATATCATTATCTCTTACATCTGCTAGTCGTTGTTCACTATAATATCATACATAAAAATATGCTTTTTACCGGATTTTGAGTTGAATTGCAACTTCACAATCAAGACTATAAAATATTGACATTCTTAATGATATTGTAGGAGTATTGTGTTCTTTATGAGATACAATGCACAGATTACACAATGATGACAACATACGGCATTGAGCATTCGATTGTCTGCGTTGAGATATGGGATTGAAGTTTCTTTTGCATTGCTATAATCCTACTTTGTAAAGTGTGTAATGCCTGATAGATAGTCTTGCTGCACTAAAGTTTGTGATTACCAAATTGTGCAAGGTTGCATTACGACCCACAGATGTAGCTTACTTATGATTCATTTACCTGTGACTTACTAATGTGTAAGGAGCGTGTAGGAATTCATCTTTGAATTAACTAACAAGTATATGGAAAGTATCAATTAATATTAAAGTTAAATATTTCAAATAAATACACTAAATTGAATTACTAATTATAACAATTTATTATTGATTATTGGCAATCAGGAAAATATATTAACGAAACAGCACATTGTCATGATATGTTGATTAGATCATCTAAAATTTCCTTTTTCTTCACTTCTATAAGCCTGTTGACCACATAAAGGTCTCTGTTCATGGAGATATTTTTTTTGCAAAATAAAAGTTTGGTTGTAGAATCTGTCATAAAATTCTGTAATTATTTGCTGTTTGTTTACCTGCTATTAGGGTTCACGCCAATAATATCTGTCTCAGTGAAACCTTTATTTATCTGATGACAGGGCCTTTGTGGTAGGTATATTATTGTTTTTTACATCCAAGAGAAAACAAGTGTAAGGTGAACTCTCTTTTAAAATATTCTTAATGTTATTTATACAAACTGATGCGGAACTGCGAAAATTAGTTGGAACATAATATCAAGGAATGTTTGCTTTTTGTGACATTTATGTTGAGACATTTATGAAAACAAGAAGTTGGACGTGCTGAGTGAAAAAATAATAACTGAAAATTTTAAGTAAATGAATTGTAATTATCAAAAACAAAAGCGGGGAAATGGTTTACGGCAAATGCAAATTTATCATAATCTAATGTTTTGATTCTGGTTTCGCTACAATAGATTCGACCTGGGATTCTACAACGCTCCCGTCACACGCGTATTCGACAATCGGTGAGTAATTAATATTATAAGTGACCTTTTTCATACAGGTGAATAATTTTTTATGTGGGAAACGTCGTGACTGCCTTTTTATCGTGAATTTTTACAGCAAAATTTGATGTTGACACTTTCGGTAACAACCTATTTATTTTTACCTCTTCTTTGTGACTCTGGGAAATAGTACAAACGTTCCTAGATTTAATTTTTTTTTATGAGAAATTGTCAACATCCTTTCCGATCTCCGAATGATTAAGACACAATGGAAACAGAAGACAAAAAGCGTGAAGAATTGTGACTAGTTTGTGCAAGGTGTTGTGAACCAAGAGATAACACTGACATTTTTGACAATTTACATTGCAGAGTCTACGCGCGAAGCTGGAACCACGTGCCAAACAAAATATTAAAAAGTACTTCATTTTATACTCGTTGGATCGGAAATGAATTGATCAAACGCCATTTTAAAAATATTTAGCTTTCTTCCGTAGCGTTTCGTGTATAGTTTAACTTTAATGTATATATATATAAAATAATTATGTAGTAAGGAATTTTGAGATTGCGTTTGATTGTAAATAAAGATAAATATAGGTAGGTTATATTATAAAAACACGCTCTAATAATAAGCCCAAAAATTAAAGTAATATTTTAATTCTAGTGTTTTTCGGGGCAAGATATTACGCTAAAGTAATGAAACTAATGTATTTTCATTGATGAATGTCAATATTTAAGTTAATCTGCGTTGATTTTGTGAATATTACGTTGGCTAGGTCGATACAGGTCTAGCTAATGAAAGCCTGTCGAAGATGAGTTCTTGTACAAGATTAAATTAAGCCTAAACATAGGTGTTCATTTAAGCTAAATTTAATGATGATTATTACAATAAAGACATAAATAATTTACAGAGATTAGTATTAAAAGGTAGGTAATCAAGTTGCATAATTGTTGTTAAAATAAATGTATATACATGAAATCCTAAACTTATATAGAAGCGCCGAAATGCGCCCTTGTCAGCTGTACGGTAGCATTTTCCCGTAACTTATAATTTGTACTCAATAAGTGCATACTAGTCGATTGAATTTGCCGTCCTAGTAAAACATCACAACGACGTCTGTTGATGGATTCTATTCGATAATAAAAGAATGATTTATTTTAATAAAAGAATAAAAACAGCAATTAACATATACGTGTATATAGTTAGGTACATTTTAATTTCACTAGCATATGTGTAGTATTGGGTAAATGGGATTTTTAAATTTTTCATTCAGTCTTATTATTATTATCATTATTACTTAGGTATTTATAGCAGTTAGTTTTGAACAAATTTTCGAGATTCGATGATTGTAAGGCGTGGGTTAAAAGTATTGTGCATTTAAAATATGTACGATAAAAAAATGTGACGCGGTCTTTAATATTTTAAAATAAATATTTCTATACATAACGGACTATTTATAATTATTTTACCTTACTAACCAACTAATGTTACGTTTATGAATAAAAAAATAATAATATGCATTTGAGTTTTGATGAACTCTGTGGTCATTTAAGGACTCGCGCGGTAGATTATTAAATGATCTCCAAAAAGTAGCCAAAAATTGTTTATTATTACATATACAATGCTTTACGTATAGTTAGATTTCTGTAAAATTTTAGGATTTTAGTTAGCTTCCCCTGTAGGTAGAGTATCCGTAAGGGCTGAGCAACAACGGTATGTGGTAATGTTCGTCCTCTTTTGTGTTAAACACGATCTGAAAACGTCAAGATTATTAATTACGTAGGCATCTAAACGTCGGCCGGACAGACGTTAACGAAACCCAAATCAGTTCATGATCAGAGTGCTCTGAGGAATTGTTCGAGATGATGCCGTCATCTCGTTTTTACCATCGCACCGCCCGCCACCGGAGTAGAGTTCATCCATACTACCTGGAGCCACTAAGTTCATCCACAGTGCGTTTCTAGCGATCTTCTTTGCCACGTACCATCCGGCTTTAGAATGAGCTCTCCTCCACGGTGCTTCCCGAGTGCTATGAAATGTCCTTCTTCAAACGCGGCTTGTGGTGAGTATTAAGCGGTAGGCAGCGGCTTGGCTCTGCCCCTGGCCTTGCTGAAGTCCATGGGCGACGGTAACCACTCACCATCAGGTAGGCCGTGTGCTTGTCTGCCTACAAGGGCAATGAAAAAAAAAGAAAAAAAGTTGGTTTGATTCAGCGAAGCACTGCTCTTGCTAGGGCCAGTGTTAGCAACACCTCCGGTTTGAGCCCCGAGGGGACCTATAGGCTGGGTAACGCTGATATAGGCTCTCAAGGCTATCAGCATAGGAAAAAAATAAACACGAAGCGTATTTCGTTAACTTTCATTTCACTTTTTGTGTATCCTCCCCTTGGGAATACTTATCTAGAAGAAAGATGCCCGATGTATCTTTCGGTATTCCTGATGACTTGTATGATCGGTTGGTTAGTTAATGGCGACAACGAACAAACTTCGCTCACTCACTCACTTTCGCATTTTTAATATTGAGTATGGATTACGAATGGGAGATTTTACTGTCTACGAATACATAATGTTTTTATTGCCTTCAGAGGCAGCCTAGTACATGGCCCACTTTGTGGAAAGTGCTCATCGTTGCTCATGGACATTGGTAATAACAGGACCACATCCGAGTCGCTCTTTGTAACTGAGTGACTGAGATAGATGCGTCCGTCCCGGGTACTAGGGATGACCTCTGCATTACGTGTAGGTAAGTACCTACTTGACGTCAGTGGTAAAAAGAGACAGAATTTCAACTATTCTATCCATTAACGTAACCAAAACTTGATCCAAACGATGCTTGAATATAGAATTTTGACAATTTGAACCATCAGGCATGTCATTCATCTGGTAAGTTGTTGTGGTCCTTAGACATGAAAATGGCGGCAAAAACCGAGCCTTATATAAAGATTAATTAATGGCTGCAGAGTCCTTGGTAATGGTAATATCTGTGAGCGACGGAGACTACTTATCGTCAGATGAATCTATGACCTACCTAAAGTGGCAATAAAAGACTGCCGTTGCCCAAAAGGTTTTCAGTCGCTGTCAACGTCAGCCGAACCACAACACTATCTGTAACCCACAAAGGTCACGCTGTATAGTCGTCGGTATTGACTTGCTGATAAATCGAGATATTAGTTCATTCACACGGTTGACTTTGTGATACTGGTGTTAATTAATTTCGAAATTATTTCTATTGATTCTTACGAGCTCGTGACCCAGCCTAGTGCCTAGGCCTAGTGATAGTACCTATAGATTTCTCGCCCGTCGTGTAAAAACTGTATTTAGTGGCTTCCCTTCCTTTCAATCTGTCTTGTTAATAGCTTTATTTATAATGAATTACACACCAACCTACATAGGTAGGTGTTATTGGATTAAAGCCATTGGGATGAATACGACTAAAGGCGTCACAGTCGCGTTTATTAATTTATTAAACAAGATAAACAGAGACTCGCGACGTAGTTACTAGAGATCCATCGATTACAAGACAAGTACAAGAATCTTAAAATTTGTAACTTTCAAGAATATCGTACTTAGTCGCTCTTTAGTTTCCCATAAATTAGTCAGAAACTGAATCTTTTTAAGTTGAATTAAACAATATATTTTTTACATACCTCAACAATAGGGTAAAGGGTTTCCTTATTCAAATTATTATAATAGTCTCCGACATTAAACCTCAATTTGTAAATTCCGACGGCCATGAAGTCTTTTGAAAACGGGAATTGTATTCTGCCGTCGCTAGATGTCACTGTATTGTGCCACAAAGTCCAACAAGAGTCGTCACGTTTTTTAAATAATTTTACAATTAAACCATTAGCCGGTTTCCCGGTACTGGTATCCAGAACATGTGTAGATAAAATCGGTCGAGACATGTTTGCGAGGCGCGAGCTCAGGGCGTTGTGTTTTTTTTTTTTTAATTTATTGAAAGCATTGGCAACACGGCCATCAGCTTAAGCTAATTTTACAAAAAAATAGAACATGAACTAGAACTTACAATAAAAACACAAATAAAAGAAACAAACCAAACCAAGAAACAATTACAAATCATTGAAAACAACAAATTAATGACAAAATGAATTGCAAGAACTTACTATAAAAAAATACAAGTTTTCTTTCAACAAACAACAAAAAAGAACATGAGTCGTTATAAAAAAATAATTAAACTTGCACATAAGCAGGAGACCTATGATACATTCATGAATTATACATTCATAGTCGTCCTATAGTGTGAAGTACAAAATTATACACTATTGAGAATAGTTGTGGAAGCTTTAAAATACCTTGAATGGAATTAGGAATAGATTTTAAGCCTGTGTCTTTACATAATGCATTAAACAATAATCTCTGTTGATTGAATTCAGGACAATTAAAAAAAATATGATCTAGATCACACATGCCAGAGTTACAATAAGTACATGCAGCTGATTCACTTAACTTTAATCTAAAAAGATGCGCAGGAAAATGGCCGTGGCCTATACGTAATCTACAAATAATCGATATAAAGGCTCTTCCCGGGAAGAATCTAAAATTATCAAACCAAGATTTAGTACTAGGTACTGGGACTATTTCAGCTAACCATTTACCTTTCGTTTCTCTGGACTTAGACAAGTAATTAGACCAACGTTTCATCATATTTTGTTTAATTGAATAAACTAAATCTGAGTACGGAACTTTAAAATCGGAAATATTTATATCTTTTGTAGATTTCGCTAATTTATCAACAAATTCATTACCCACAATACCAGAGTGACCTGGCACCCAACAAAATTCAACAAATATATTTCTGAAATACAAAAAACTCAAACAACTTCTTAACTTATAAATTAAATAATTTACAGATGCACTAATACATTTATTTTTAAGAGCTTGCAAGGCGCTCATTGAATCAGATAGAATTAAAATTTTGTCCCCTGCAGAGTAATTTACTCGAATGTGCTCTAAAGCATATATAATGCCTAGTACTTCAGCCGAAAAAACAGAGAAAAAATTGCTACATTTATAAACTGATCCTATGTTCATGGACGAATCAAAAAATGCAAAACTAGTTCTATCTTTAGTTTTAGAGCCATCTGTATACACTTTAACAAAATCAGTCTTATCTTCAAGGAACTCCAGAAAATCATTTTTAGATTTAAACTTGATTAGATCAACAGCCACATCTCTCAACATGTCATGAAAGTTATATTCGAAACAAGGCAATACGGTAGACCAAAATACCACATCCTGAAATTCAAAATTCAAGTACGTTAAGGCACTGGATATGGATGAAGAATTAGGAAGCGGAATTAAATTATAATTTGGAATATTTGCATACTTCAAATACCTGTAAGTTACTTGATTATCACGGCTAATAAGCTTAAGGCAATAATTATCTAATATAAAACTTCTTCGTATGAATAGAGGAACAATACCAGCCTCAACTTCCAAGGAATTAATTGGAGACGACATCATAGCACCAGTAATTATTCGTAATGCTCTATTTTGCACAATATCTAATTTCTTAAGAAGAGAAAAATTTGCGTCCGAAAAGAACATACAGCCATAATCGAAATGGCTTCGGATTGTTGCAATGTAAATAGTTTTTAAAACTTTGGGATCAGCTCCCCATTTTATTCCAGTTAGCGATTTTAATATATTCAAACCTAATTCAGCTCTTTTACAAATAACATCAATATGAGTTTTCCACGAAAGATCAAAATCTAGAGAAAGACCAACATATTTTACGAAAGATTGAGCAGGAATAATATCATAATTGTATAAAACTTTAGGGTAATGCAATCCATTTTGGGAAAATAAAATTGCAGTACTTTTGGAAATATTGACCTCAAGTTTTAGGGAATTTGTAAGTAAATCGTAAATATTACGCAAACAACTATTCATAACCGATTCACCACTTTTAATATCATTACAGTTTACATAGAGAACAAGATCGTCAGCAAAGAATAAATGTTTAACAGAATTTGGAATTTTCTTTATGAAACATACTAAACTAAGTATGAATATGAGAGGTGATAAAACGCAACCTTGAGGAGTACCTTTAGTAGAAATTTTAGGACCAAATAAACTAGATTTAATTTTCAAAAACATAGAGCGCTTGTTCAGGAAATTGTACAGCCAGAACAGAACATGTCCTGGAAAGCCTAAAGAATGTAGACTTTCAATAAGGTAGGAATGATCTATATTATCAAAAGCCCCTTTAATATCCAAAAATACCGCTAATGTAAATTGATTATTATGGAAGTTATTTTTAATATCGCCAATCAAACAGCTTAAGTTATCTATTGTACTTTTACCTTTACGAAATCCGTATTGAGTACTTGGTATTAAGTTGTTATTTTCAGTAAACCACTCTAACCTGTTTTTTAACATAGTTTCGAAAATTTTCGAAAAACAAGAAGTTAATGAAATGGGTCTGTGAGAATTGATACAGTTGGGATCCTTGTAAAGCTTTAAAATCGGTACTACATGTTGAGTTTTCCAAATCGGAGGAATACAGTTGTTTTGCCAAAGATCATTAAATATTTGACATAAAATTTCCTTGGCATACTGGGGAAGATTTTTGATTACTTTATAAGGGATGAAATCAGGACCAGGGGAGGTTTCCTTTTTATTTTCTAATGCAGTCGCAAATTCGCCCATAGAGAATGGGTCTACCAGCCATTGAGCCTCCGGTTTTCCGTGGCTGTTAAAAAAATCTTGTAACTTAGATTCGGAAATTTCATTCTCAGAACCAGCTATCGAATCCAAAAACAAAGATGCATTAGCGGGATTTTGAAAAAAACTTGAAGACGAAGAAATGTTATTGAGTTTAGCGTGCTTAAATCTACGAATGTGATCCCAAATAATTTTACTCGAAGTCATTCGATTGAATGATGAACAAAGATTCATCCAGCTTGAACGTTTTATTTCATATAAAGTTCTTTTCTTCAAAGCGTCCAGCTTTTTAAAAATAATATAGTTTTCCATATTTGGATAATGCTTGTACGATAATAAAGCAACTTTGGCTTGTAAAACTACGCGGTCACAATCAGCATTCCACCAAGGAACAGCTTTGGAACAATTCCGTTTTTTGTGCGAGTAACACTTTTTGTCAAAAGTCATTAATATGTCATGTAAAATACTCAAAAACATATTATAATTTTCAAGAGGGTTATCAGCGAAGCTAAAACTTGAAAACTCACTTTCACATAACTTATTAAATTTTGACCAGTCAATCTTATTAAAATTTATGTTAGCTAAAGAGGTATTATCTAGTGTATCAACTTGATTTATTGAAGAGGTGGTCGGGCCAAAGGAAGGATGGGAAGGAAGAAAAGCATCGTTAAAGACTTCAATAAGTAGTGGGAAATGATTACTACTGAGCAAATCATCAAGGACAGAAACTGTGCAACTAGAGCTAAGAGCAGGGGAAGCGAATACTAGATCCAATACATTTCCTTGTTGACCAAATGGAGCAAAGGTTGTGATTGTGTCATCATTTAAACAAACTAACTCAGAACTTTCCACATAATCATGAAGGGCTTTACCTCTTCTATCATTGACTCTTGAACTCCAGGAAGCATGATGTGCATTGAAGTCACCAATTATTAAATAATTATTTGAAACAAATTTAGAACATGAATCTTTCAATAAATTAATAGTGAACTTACCATTTGGTGGTGGAGGAATGTAAACACATAGAATGTCAAAAGAAAAATTATTAATGTAAACTGTAATTAAAATATTTTGAAAATGATATTGAGAAATTGTGTCTATTATTTTAAATTTATACTTAGAGCGTAATGCAATAGCAACCCCACCATGTGGGTGGTTGGAATCTCTTCTTATAACATTAAATCCAGGTAATTTGATGATTTTATGTGAAGTTAACCAGGTTTCATTGAATAAAATCATATCAACACACTTGTCAAGTTTACTGAGGAAATTTTTAAGTTGATCTAATTTAGGAAATAAACTTCTAGAGTTCCAATGAATGATATTAAACTGACCAACAGAATTATGCATATAAGATTGAGTAGAACTATCCATAATTTATGATGTAAAATTCGTTACTAGCATTTCTTTAATTAATTGAGTAGATATAGGTCCAGAAGGGGATTTAGAATCCTTTTTCTTTAACAATTCTATTAAAGTTTTTGTAATGGTTCTGATGACAATTTCTGAATTGATAATGTCTGAAATTAAAGCCCTACCTTGAGGGGTCTTCGCAGATATAGGTATGTCAGAAGAGGTCACGGGGTTCTTAATAACAGGAGTCTTTAGTATGGCTGCATATGATGTTTGCTTGCCGATGATCTTATTTTTTACTTCAGCAACCTTGGCTGCCTTTACTGAGCAAGAGTAAGAAACTGCAGAATGTGGCCCACTGCAGTTGGAGCACTTGAAGATGTTGGGAGTGCTGCACTCCTTATAAAAATGATTGCCTGAACAAATAGAGCAAACTTGAGTGGCTTTACAGGCACCACTTCCATGTCCGAATTTGTAGCATTTGAAGCACTGTAACACAGGTCTAATATAATCCGAAACAGGCATCCAAATATGCTCGTATGTGACGTGATCAGGATGGCTAGACGCCAAAAATGTAACCAGCACAGTTTGCAGTGGCTTGTCACTTCCATTCTCTTGTTTTTTGAAAAATCTTTTTACTCCGAGTATTGTGCATGAAGCTTTTAAATTTACTAAAAGAGATTCTTCATCTAATTCCACAGGAGCTCGAATAATTCCTTGACTCTCAATGCTATCGTAAGGTATTTTTGCTGTCCAATTGTTTAACTCCATAAAGCTTACATCTAATAAAAAAGCGTTGGCATCCCGAGCACAGCCAAAGTAAACTTTAGCAAAAAAGTTTCCAGCAGCTTTGACATACTGTACCCCTTGAACATTTTTTAAAGA